CAACCTGCCCCCCCTCCAGACACCAACCTGCCCCCCCTCCAGACACCAACCTGCCCCCCCAGGTTTGTGACCTGGACTTCGGTCTCTGTTTTCTCTTTGTGGGGGGGTTGTTTTCCAGGGGGGCTTTTTCAGAGGTGGTCTTGGCCCAGGAGAAGCAGACTGGACGGAGGTTCGCTGTGAAGTGTGTGTCCAAAAGAGCCTTGAAGGGAAAAGAGAGCAGCGTCGAGAACGAGATCGCAGTGTTGAGGAGGTGACACACACACACACACACACACACACACACACAAGAATCCCTCGTTAGCATCGTTAGCTCCATCACAGCTACTGTAACTCTTTGTCCCTCCTCCTCTCTCTCTCCCCCCCCCCCTCCTCCAGGATCCAGCACGACAACATCGTGGCCCTAGAGGACATCTACGAGACTGTGGACCATCTGTACCTGGTCATGCAGCTGTGAGTCCTCCACAGACGTCACGCTGTGCAGCAGTGGTCCAAGGTTCTAAGGTTCTAAGGTTCTATGGTTCCAAGGTTCCAAGGTTCCAAGGCTCTAAGGCTCTAAGGCTCTAAGGCTCTATGGTTCTAAGGTTCTAAGTCTCTACGGTTCTATGGTTCTATGGTTCTAAGGTTCTAAGGTTCTAAGGTTCTATGGTTCTATGGTTCTAAGGTTCTGTGGTTCTATGGTTCCAAGGCTCTAATGCTCTAAGGCTCTATGGTTCTAAGGTTCTATGGTTCTAAGGTTCTATGGTTCTAAGGTTCTATGGTTCTAAGGTTCTATGGTTCTAAGGTTCTATGGTTCTAAGGTTCTATGGTTCTAAGGTTCTATGGTTCTAAGGTTCTATGGTTCTAAGGTTCTATGGTTCTAAGGTTCTATGGTTCTAAGGTTCTGTGGTTCTATGGTTCCAAGGCTCTAAGGCTCTAAGGCTCTATGGTTCTAAGGTTCTATGGTTCTAAGGTTCTGTGGTTCTATGGTTCCAAGGCTCTAAGGCTCTAAGGTTCTATGGTTCTAAGGTTCTGTGGTTCTATGGTTCCAAGGCTCTAATGCTCTAAGGTTCTATGGTTCTAAGGTTCTGTGGTTCTATGGTTCCAAGGCTCTAATGCTCTAAGGTTCTATGGTTCTAAGGTTCTGTGGTTCTATGGTTCCAAGGCTCTAATGCTCTAAGGTTCTATGGTTCTAAGGTTCTGTGGTTCTATGGTTCCAAGGCTCTAATGCTCTAAGGTTCTATGGTTCTAAGGTTCTGTGGTTCTATGGTTCCAAGGCTCTAATGCTCTAAGGTTCTATGGTTCTAAGGTTCTGTGGTTCTATGGTTCCAAGGCTCTAATGCTCTAAGGTTCTATGGTTCTAAGGTTCTGTGGTTCTATGGTTCCAAGGCTCTAATGCTCTAAGGTTCTATGGTTCTAAGGTTCTGTGGTTCTATGGTTCCAAGGCTCTAATGCTCTAAGGTTCTATGGTTCTAAGGTTCTGTGGTTCTATGGTTCCAAGGCTCTAATGCTCTAAGGTTCTATGGTTCTAAGGTTCTGTGGTTCTATGGTTCCAAGGCTCTAATGCTCTAAGGTTCTATGGTTCTAAGGTTCTGTGGTTCTATGGTTCCAAGGCTCTAATGCTCTAAGGTTCTATGGTTCTAAGGTTCTGTGGTTCTATGGTTCCAAGGCTCTAATGCTCTAAGGTTCTATGGTTCTAAGGTTCTGTGGTTCTATGGTTCCCTGGTTCTATGATTCTAAGGTTCTATGGTTCTATGGTTCTATGGTTCTAAGGCTCTATGGTTCTATGGTTCTAAGGTTCTACGGTTTTATGGTTCTATGGCTCTATGGTTATAAGGTTCTATGGTTCTAAGGCTCTAAGTCTCTACGGTTCTATGGTTCTATGGTTCTAAGGCTCTCTGGTTCTATGATTCTAAGGTTAAGGCTCTATGGTTCTATGGTTCTAAGGTTCTATGGTTCCAAGGCTCTAAGGCTCTAAGGCTCTATGGTTCTATGGTTCTATGGTTCCAAGGCTCTAAGGTTCTATGGTTCTACGGTTCCAAGGTTCTAAGGTTCTAAGGTTCCAGTTCTACAATGTTCTAAGGCTCCAAGGCTCTACGGTTCTAAGGTTCTACGGTTCCAAGGTTCTAAGGTTCTAAGGTTCCAAAGTTCCAATGTTCTAAGGTTCTATAGTTCTAAGGTTCCATGGTTCCAAGGTTCTAAGGTTCCAAGGTTCCAATGTTCTAAGGTTCTATGGTTCTATGGTTCCAAGGCTCTAAGGTTCTATGGTTCTACGGTTCCAAGGTTCTAAGGTTCTAAGGTTCCAAAGTTCCAATGTTCTAAGGTTCTATAGTTCTAAGGTTCCATGGTTCCAAGGTTCTAAGGTTCCAAGGTTCCAATGTTCTAAGGCTCCAAGGCTCTACGGTTCTAAGGTTCTACGGTTCCAAGGTTCAAAGGTTCCAAGGTTCTAAGGTTCTAAGGTTCCAATGTTCTAAGGTTCTATGGTTCCAAGGTTCAAAGGTTCCAAGGTTCTAAGGTTCTAAGGTTCCAATGTTCTAAGGTTCTATGATTCTAAGGTTCTAATGTTATATGGTTCTAAGGTTCCAAGGTTCTAAGGTTCTAAGGTTCCAAGGTTCCAATGTTCTAAGGTTCCAAAGTTCTAATCCACAGAGTGTCTGGTGGCGAACTCTTTGACAGGATCGTGGAGAAAGGGTTCTACACAGAGAAAGACGCCAGTTCTCTCATCCGTCAAGTCCTGGACGCCGTCAACTACCTCCACAGGATGGGCATCGTCCACAGAGACCTGAAGGTACCAGGACCCAGAGGTCACTGTAAAGGTCACTGTATCCAGCACAGAGAGACTCAACTGTACTCTCCCCCTTCTTCTCCCCCCTCTTCTCCCCCCTCACCCTTCACACC